ATAGATATATGAATAGTCATAAGTATATATTTGACAATATTTTCACACGTTCCTATCTTTGAGTTTCTCTCTCTCTCCCACTCAAATTAACTACCTCTGAAAAACTTTCACATACCCACTTGTCATTCCATTTCCCCACTTACCAAACTAATAAGCAAGATTTTCTCAATTGCCTTATTTATCTCACATCACTTCACGGTTTCTTTCGTTTTAACATTTCATAATTTGTCTTCCCATATTTTATTACTCATTTTCTTTCCATATTTTTGGTGTATCAAAACAAGAAGAAATTGTCTAGTAGCATTTATAGTATATTTATTATCACAACATTTTTCCTTTGGTTGAAACGCATTTGAAGGTTATAAGGTAGGATAATGACGTACAAGCGGTTTTGTTGCATTTAATTTTTGTTATTTCATATCGATAAATATTTTGCTAATTATATGATACGATATGATATATATGGCCATCCGGTACAAATGATATGATATAGTTTCTTATCGGTTCTAAAGATATAATATGGTGTACGATTTAGTTTGATATATGAATGATAAATATTATTCCAGATTGTATTAATATTCGTATCTTATTCAGTATTTTCCGTACTCACCCCTTTTCCCCTACTTCACAGGCTAGTAGGAGTCATGTTGGAGCTCCGCGATTTAATGGTGTGATTGTGCATCGTTTCATGGGACTGAAATTTAAAATTCAAGCAAGTAACTTTGTTTCTTTTAATTTATTTGCAATATACATTTATGTTTAATTAAATTGTCGGGCGTGTTCAGTAAATTATAGTTGTCTATTTTGATACGATATAACTAGTTTTTCTATTCCTTTAGATTTTAAGTTGTGCCTTGTGATTTTCAACTATATCTATATTATTTGGTGTAAACTCTATTTTCTTTTCTGTCAATTTAAAGAATTGAATTCATAAATGGGTTCACTTCCACCATTATAAATTCATGCCATGGCCACTGTCTTAAATTTATTTAGTTCATTTGTTAGGGTTAATATGATACTGTATAATTTCTTAAAGACCATGCATGTATGTTTAAAATCTGTAGAATCCACTGTTGTTCCATCAATCATATAGAAAGAATAAATGGAACATATATTAAAGGGAAAATTGCAGCAACGATCCCTAATATTTTCAATTTTTGCAGACTTTACCCTAATATTCATTTTGTACCAACGAAGATTCCTAACCTTTCGTAACTATGCAGCTGGAGTTTATATCCATTTGACTGTTAGTTAACTAAGAAAATCAAATTTTGATTTATTTTGACCAAATTAAAAAGGGCAAAATGATATTTTTGCCATTTCCCATATTAAATAAGTTAAAAAACCCAAAAAATAAAAATAAACATATAAACCCACACCACTCACCATAACACCGCAAATGAAAACAGTATAACAACCCTTCTTCTCCCGCGTATCGTTATCGAAAACAACCACCACCGCCACCTTTGACCCAACCGCCACCACTACTCCAATTCAGTCTAAGAAAAATAACTGCCCACGCCCACCACCATCAATTTGAAACCAAAAATCAAATTCATCCCTACCAACACATTGCCGCACTGATTTTTCATTTGGAACGTCTTCAGCAACAGCGGATTGCCACCGCCACCATCCATCAGATAATGCAGGACGAAGGTAGACATAGAATCAATGCAGTTCGTACACATAGCATCTACTCCAAGTTTCAAGAACCCAGATCCAGAAATGACCACATGGACCAACACTTCTTCAGGTAACACTGTCTCCATTACCTCTCCATACGAATCAAACTTGGTTCTTGAACTCTACAGAAGCTCGAATCCTCTTGCCACAAAGGTCATATCGAATTGTACGTATTTGAGGATTGAGATTTTGGTTTAGATCAAAATTTGATCCCTATTTCAAAACCTACTTCTCAACTCGGGTTGGGTGTTTTGGAATTTTCCCGTCGAGCCTGACAGGTGGTGGAGCCGGGTGTGGGAGTTGGGAGTCGTGCAGAGTGTGGAGGTGCCGGCGTTGTGTGGAGGGGATGGTGGCGGCAACGGCGCCAACCACGGTGTGGATGGGTTGGGGAAGTAGGAGGATGGGTGACTGTGGTTTATATTTTGAAATATTATAGTTGTACTTTATTTTTATTTTGTTTTAATTAATTATTATAAGGGATAAATTGGAATAAATAGCAAACTACCATTTTGCCCTTTTAAATTTGGTTAAAATTAATTAAATTTTGACTTTTTTGGTCAACTAACGACCACATCCATTTGAACTCCATTTGCATATGTATGAAAAGTCAGGGATCTTTGCTAGCACAAAATGAAGGTTAGGATAAAATCTATAAAAAATTGAAAATGTTAAGGACCGTTGCTGCAATTTTCCTTATATTAAATGATGTACTCTTTTGCTTGACACTAATTTGTTTTGGAAAATTAAATGGCGATTTATTTTCTTTCTCAGTTTTGCATGTCAAGTGATATAATTTAAGGGAAGTTGCAGTAGCAATTCATATTTACTTCGTTATAAATTTTGAGTCATTACAGATCCGTAAGTTGGTCACGAATATGACAAGCAATTCAAAACCACATTTGATCATCCTTTTCATATTTCTAATGCCTGTGTGTACTAATCAACCATCTCGTAAAGTAAATGAATCAACTATATATGAAAAGATGTATAATTATTATGAGCTTGTTTGGGAGGAATTAAAATCCAATTAAAATTGAAAATATAACCGTTATTGGGTCCCACTCGTCTAATAAAAATTAACTCCAACGGCTAGTATTTCAATTTTAATCTGATTCTAATATCTCCCAAACAAGCTCTATAATCAATTTGAATAGTACATAACTTGATCATTTCATCACTAAAATAGTCTCGACTAATAAATTGCTATTTCGCATCAATACAAGTTTGCCCGAATCAAATATAGATTTAATTCCTTGTTTTTCGAACGAACCCCACTGCTAAGTTTCTATTCATATTCGGCACATGAAGCACATTGGCCAATATTATTTTCTTTCCTAAAGTGAAGCAGAAATCTACATTTCCTTTGCCAACTACTTTGGAACGACCCTCATTTTCCACTTGAAATTCTTGTCCTTCATTGGCATCATGATGAGTCTTGAAAAGTATCTTATCATGACAAACACGGACTATTGCACAGTCTCATACGACAATGTCTAGAACTTTGCCTTGAATTGCATTAATTTTGCTCACCGTAACGACAATGTCTTCAATGGAGTTTTCTTTTTCTTTTTTCTTTGGTTTCTTTTTATGCCTTCAATCTCATGCATATTGTCCCAATTTCAATGGACATAGCCTGAAAAATGTAGCAATAAGTTCTTCGTCCTCTCTATTCCACACAAAACACTTTAACGTAGTTTGATCTCTATATCCCAACCATGAAAATCAATTCGAGGATAATAGTTTAGTTTTCCGTCTGGATCGTCATCTTCCGTCTTTTTTCAGCTAGAATCCGTCTGTACAGAGATGGTTCGATTCAATTTTCTCTATTTTTCCTACCGAAAGTGGACATATTTTTGGTCGTCGAGTGTCTACCAGTCACATTAGAAGACTGGAGCATCAGACAGGCTTTCCTCAACAGCAGCAACTATCCAATTATTTGGTGGTTCTTTTATTTAAACGGGTTCAATGGATCTTTATTTATAATGAGTTAATGACCCCATCCAAAAGGTCGGGGAACAGGATATCGAGCAAGGCATTGAGGTTGCTGTATTTCACTTTATCTACTTCAGATTATGTAGCCTCCAAGGCTCGTCTAAATAAGTTGGAAAGTATATTTGCTAGATTCATTTGGAATTCTAAGGATTAGTCTTGCAGCTTGCATTGGAGAAAGTGGAAGGATCTACAAACGAGTGTATCTTGGGCTTTAGCAGGTTGCATGGTCTTTTTAACACCTCTCCCTAAAGCTCTTGTGTATCTGGGCAAATATTGCCCCTGTTTGACATCCATTCTCTTTCTCATTTTTTTTCTCTTTCTTCATTTCAACCACACATTCTATCAATAAAATAATATTACACATAAACCCAAAAATTCTTCTTATTTTTTAAACACACATTCTTCCCATGAATCACTATTCCAGAATTTATTCTTCACAAAAATGGGTGTCAAACATAAACTTATATTAGGAGATTTAAATGGAGTGAGCATGCCAGACAAGACAATCGCTCAGTTCGTTGCACATAAACTTATTTGTTTTAAGTAAAAATTTGTAATTTTTAGCTAAAATGCTAGTCTAAGACAAGTGAATTGCGTGGCTCACGAGAGTAATTTGCAACTCCACTAGTTAATGAGGTGGGC